CACATCCTGTATCAGCCCGAGACACCAATATCAGCCAGAGGGCCGAAGGCCCGAGGGCTGATATTGGTCGAGGGCTGATACAGGATGTGATGTGGAAAAGGGTATGTATTAATATGTTTATTACATACTTAGTAATAAAGTACAGCATACATTAAGTTAAGAAGAAAATAAGTAAATAATCATGCACGGACTTCTTACATACATGTACATGGTCTATTGTCTCATACGATTTGGGTTTGTTTCTATTACTATTTCAATGGACTCGATCCTAATTTGAAAATAATCTATTACATGTATTAATTTTGTAAATTAAGATTCACCTTATTGTCAACAAGTTAAAATTAATAGAATATGAACCAACCAAAAATTGTGTATGATCACAAGTACTGTTTTTGTGGTTTAATTTACTAAGGGTGTGATATTGACGTCACAATAGCCGATCAGCCCTGCAGGACTGATATGGATTTGCGGGGCTGATATATGTTATCAGCCCTGCAAATCCATATCAGCCCTGCAGGGCTGATACGGCTATTGTGACGTCAGCCATATCGCATATGCAAAAAACGTGTATTTATTACTAAGTGTATAATAGAAATAAATAGCGTAACTCATCAAAGTTACCTAATATTCAAATACCACAAAAAATAATTATAATACCTTGCTTTACAATATATTTTTCAAGGGTTAGTTTTTATACCCCCGCAATCGAAGTTTCGGTGGAATATAGTTTTTGTCTTGTCCATCCGTCTGTCTGTCTGTCTTGTTGTCTTGCTGTTTGACTGTTTGTCTGCAAAAACTTTAACCTTGCTCTGACTTTAAATTGATCGGGGCTATGCCTTTCAGATTTCACATGTATTATCCTCGTGACAAGACCTTTTTTTGGACGCCACCAAGTTTATCCTGTTGACCTTGGAAATTGACAAATTTTTAAATAGAAAATCAAATCTATTACTTTGGCCACATCTTTTGGACATTCATACTTCATTTTTGTATTTTTTTGTGGCAAGACCTTTCATTGGATACCAATAATTTTGACCTTTTGATCTTGGCCTTGGAGATTTATGTACTTATGAAAAAAATTTGACCACAACTTATTATGTAACGGTAAGTACTGGGGCTTTCATATTTCACATATGTAATCCTTGTGAAAAGACCTTTCCTACGATATCAAGAACTTTGACCCTTTGACCCTGACCTTGGAGTTTGACCTACTTAAAAAAACTTGATCATATCTTTTGAAGGGATAGCAATAGGGCTCTTTTACTTCACATATTCAATTTTTGTGACAAGACATTTCATTGGATATCAAGAACTTTGACCCTTTGACCTTTGAGTTTGACCTTTTTCTTAAAAAATTGACCATTGCCATTACCTTTGAAGGGTTACCAGTAGGGCTTCCATACTTCACATTTGTAATCCTTGTGATAAGTCCTTTCTTAAGAAGCCAGCAACGTTGACCATTTTTCCCTGGACTTTAACCTTCTTTTCAATTATAATTTTGGACCAGGTGGTGCTAGGGCTTTCATATTTCACAAATATATTACTTTGGATTCCAATATATTTTATTAGCATTCAAAAACAGTTTTATCTTTGATATATTGCCATACGGGGCGCATCAGTTTTCTAAAACACATCTTGCTTTTTTTAATGTGTCTTTTAGAAAGCTTGATTTAAGAATATGTTTGAATATGCAATAATGCAACCATTTAAATAAAAAAATATTATTACTAAATAGCTATGTTAAGATAAATCTTGATTACATTTTGAGTCAAGATAAGAAAAAGGATTCTAATAACGCAAGCAGAACGAACACAATAATGAATAATTATTTTGCGTAATTACAATCTGCGTAGATTTCATCAAAGCATATGTTATTTTAATAATATGCTTCATTACATGACTTGAGACTATTAATGCCAATAATCATTGGACTCAATATTAGGAACATTAAACATTATTTTTGATTATATTTTGCTCTTTGTATCACAAGTTTTTTTTTAAAATCATATTTATGTAAATAAAGACTTAATGTTATTTTAATTGATTGAGAAAAAAAAAAATTGGAGAAAAAAATGTAGATATCCATATTCCTTATATAAATGATACATAGTGTAAACTTAATTGATATTTGCATTACTTCTCAGATATGAAAGTTCTAAGGGTTATGACAGAAAAAAATCTCCAAATTTTACAATGTAATTTGTTTTGTTTCGTCTGTTTCAATTACTTGTTGTAGAAAAAAAAATCGCATTAAAGTGGTGCATATTTTGTTTCTACTTTATTTGCTACGGATAATCCTGTACGAGAAATTATTTTATTATCGCTCATATTTACATCTATGTAAATGATCATATAAAGTTTCCCACTTTGAATATTGTATTATTGATATGTATTGATATTTATGATTTTGAAACGTATGTCATTATTGATAATTATGAATTTTTCAATCATCATATATCTACTTGACTTTTTGCGCGGCGTTAAAGTTTGATTCAGTAAATTTATTTATTTAGAAAAAATATATGAAGATATCATTTTCTGGTTCGCATAATGCTTGTTATAATTAACACTGTGTGTATGATGTTGCAATGTAGTAGTAAACCCATATATACTCACCGTCAATAGAAACGCAACACCCTAATTTTAGGGGTGAAAATTATATACGGGATATAACTATGTACCATAAAAGTTAGGGCATCTTTTACTTTGCCAAATCAGTTATTTAACGGTTGAATGATTTTCATTCCATTACCGGAAGTAGATTTTTAGCCCCCCTGAACAGAAATCAAAAATTAGCATTTTTGATAAAATTATTGACAATATTTTGGGTTTTCAAGGTTTTGTACCTGTTAATTTTAAGTCTTGTACTAAAAGTCTGGAAAAAATATCCTTCTTTCTCTTCCAGATGTGATGCCTGTATTTCCTCAAAGTAACTGAAAGCACGCATTTTCATTGCTTATGTTGGAAATTTTCAAAATAAAGAAAAGGGAGAGCTACAGATGCAAATATACACTACATAACGACTTTTCGGGCTCATGTGTTTCAAAAGCACGAATGACAGTTCCTTGACCGGAAGTCCAAGGGTTACTACACTAATCCAAGTTAGAGAAAATTCGACCTCAGTATCTGAAAAACAGGCATTTAAAAAAGGACAAGAATATTTATTTCGCTCAGATTAAGACATTGATAAACTTAATGCATGGTAGAATTCGGGCTGCTTATGTTGTACATGGCGGACTAAGCTAGCACGTTTTAATTGAAAGGTCGGAAGGGGGGATGTTTAAAAAGTTATGTGTTACTTTCTAAGGTCTAAAGATAACATTTAAAGATTAAATAAAGTATCATTGTTTTGTAAATTTACTTTTTACATTTATGTATTCATTCCTTAATCTTATCTTTAAACCTTATAAAGTAACACATAACTCTAAAACACCCCCCCTTCCGACCATTCAATTAAAACGTGCTAGTCCGCAATGTACAACATAAGCAGCCCGAATTCTACCATGCATTAAGTTTATCAATGTCTTAATCTGAGCGAAATTAATATTCTTGTCCTTTTTTAAATGCCTGTTTTTCAGATACTGAGGTCGAATTTTCTCTAACTTGGATTAGTGTAGTAACCCTTGGACTTCCGGTCAAGGAACTGTCATTCGTGCTTTTGAAACACATGAGTCCGAAAAGTCGTTATGTAGTGTATATTTGCATCTGTAGCTCTCCCTTTTCTTTATTTTGAAAATTTCCAACATAAGCAATGAAAATGCGTGCTTTCAGTTACTTTGAGGAAATACAGGCATCACATCTGGAAGAGAAAGAAGGATATTTTTTCCGGACTTTTAGTACAAGACTTATAATTAACAGGTACAAAACCTTAAAAACCCAAAATATTGTCAATAATTTTATCAAAAATGCTAATTTTTGATTTCTGTTCAGGGGGCTAAAAATCAACTTCCGGTAATGGAATGAAAATCATTCAACCGTTAAATAACTGATTTGGCAAAGTAAAAGATGTCCTAACTTTTACGGTACATAGTTATATCCCGTATATAATTTTCACCCCTAAAATTAGGGTGTTGCGTTTCTATTGACGGTGAGTATATATTGTACTTTAAAAAATTCAAACTTTCGTCAATAAATGTTTTTGTGATCAAGTTATTAGGTCCTGATGAGAGCAGGAAATACTAAGAAAATACTAAGATATCACTTTCTGGATTGCATAAAACTTGTCATGATTATCTCTATGTGTATTATATTGCAATGTTGTAATAAACCCTTGTTTTCTATTGAACTTACGTCAGTAAAATGTTACTGTAATCAATTTCTTAGGTCATGATGAGAACATGCGTAGGAATATATATATATATATAAATATTTCAGATAAATATATAAACATGAAGATGCAACAGTCATCAATGTTCATCGGAAGAAAACCAAGCAGCAGGGAAAACATTGAATAATTATATTAGAGGTTCGATAAGGTGCTATGAAGGGCTAAAAATTATTCCCTGATCACCAGTCATATTCTCCTTTATATCATCATAAGGCTAGCAGAAAAATCATTTTTTTTTAAATTTATTAACACTTCCGATGAAAATGTCAGACAGCATTAGACTTAACAATAGATTAAATTTGCCATAAACCAAAGAATAAGCGAGTTGTTGACATGCAACTTGATTGTTCATATTTTGGTAATGAAATTATATTGAACCACAAGACTTGCCTTCAGATATCCTGGAATCAAAGAATTATCAAAATTTATGTTCAGGTATGAGTAATACATGTAAATATCTCATTTTATCCAAAGCTAAAAAATGAAAATATATGTATGAACACTTCTCTTCTAAATAAAAATATAATGTTGTCACAGGTCTAAACAAAGAAACATAACATTTAACAAGTCATTTGATAACATAGTGAGAAAGGAAGTAAACCTAGCTAGTTGTACTTTTTTATTTTCATTTTTAAAAGTTTGTATCAGAATCGATAAAAGAAAGTTTACATGATTGCAGAATAGGTAGAAATAGTGCATACTAATTTCTCTTTCAATCTTCTAATCTATTATATAGTAAAGGAGATAGACAGGTACAAAAGACATTTACATTACAAGTTATAATCTTATAATCCGTAAAATGCACATTCATTCGAATGATTCACAGTGTATATCCAGTCATAATTATACAAATGATACATATTCATACATTTATCCTAAGCAATGTGACCCTATAATAGAATTTTAAAAATATTTTTTGTCATTGAAGTGAGAGTACTTTGATTTCTTCAGACAACCATTCCCCAATATACAGATTGTCATGCTCGTCTATACAGAGGACGCGTGGCATGTGCATGTCTTTATATTTAATGTAGTGAAGCAGCTCACCGTTCGGATCAATCATATGAATTCTGTTTTTCACCATTTCGGCTACAATGATGTTATTCTTGGAATCACAACAGATACCGTATGGATCAAATTGTGGATCACTCTGTGTTCCTGTGTACCGGAATCTCAGAAAGCCTCCCGCGTCCGTGACGACCACCGCGTTCACATCAGAAACGCAGATGTCTTCATTGCCGTTTTCTGTTACGTACGTTGGACAGACAAAAAGGGGCCTATTTTTATCGGTTTCCATTTCAAACAGTTTACATCCATCATTAGATAACTTGAGCACTTTACCTTGTGAACGCTTATGCACTTGTTGGTTCCAAAGACAAACCAAAATGGCTCCAGATTTGCACATTGCTAATCCATTTGGTGTGTATCCACGAGTTAGTTCATCTGGCCACTTTGTGTATCCACTTTTATCTACAACTGGCAAAGGCCAAACACTGTAGATCTTATCAGAATCATATAATTGACCTGGCAGAGGATAACTTGTATAGGTAAAACTTCTTGTACATTTCTTCACTGATCTATCACAAATATTCCAAAAAAAGAACCTCGCATATGAATTGCCATCTGTATATACACACAAACAGGATCCATGGGTAGAGAGAAACGGAATAGAATCATCTCTAAATAGGCAAGAAGGATTGGTGACTTTAGTGTTTTCAACAGAAACAGCAATCCTTCCATTATATACGTATTTGAGATCAGTTATATACTTCTGTCCATTATTTATTGTTCTAGCTATGTTCACTCTTTTCACTACAGCAGACAAAACTTGGGCTTGCATTATCCTTTTACCTGCCTAAAATCAATTTCCAAATTAAAATTATTAAACACAATAATTGGGACTTTTATTTTCATTACCAAGAAAATTCATTGAATCAAATGCATGTATTATCAATAAAATAATTAAGCCTTGATAATAAAATTAATATATATATACTCAACAAAAAAAGAAACGCATATTGTTTTACTCGTCAAAGAACTTTTTAAAATGAACATGAAACAACTATTTTTGATATCATTGGATACCTGTGACCTATTTAAAGGACAACATGGGGTTTTAAAACCCAAGTGTTGAATTATCTCCCTTGATTAAACATGTTTATGAAAGTAGTGTTTTTCATGATTTCTTCTAAATCAGATGTCTATTTTCATTGATATTTGGATTTTGAGAAACTTTTAACACTTTTGTTAAACCCATATTTAAGATTTGATTGCAGTGTTAATACTGCAATGCCACGCCCAAACAAAGAGGAATACAACCAGGCTAACGATGATACTAAATGGAGCTACGCAACAGGAAGTTGTAACTGTATTTGAAATAAATCAATGGGCTTTGCAACCTTAAAACTAACGTCTGAAGACCACTCTCTGGCCATCCGCAGGTAACCACAACCAGGCAGGACCGTCAGACACTCCCCCCCCCCTTCATCACCTCATGCGATTCAGAACTTGCTGTAAAAACTGCTGCTACAATTGCTGGATAAAAAATCAGCATAAAAATGCATAAATTGTTCGCATGAGACTAAAATGAGATGATATTCCCCCACGATATCCGTACATTGGAAACCCACTAACATTGAGACTTTGCACAGTCAATATTGTTATGCCCCTTGAATTTGGGGGCAATGAAAATGACCTCAACTTGACTTTTCAGTTTGCAACATTGATTTTTATCACAACACACTCTAAAATCGCTTAAATAATACAAGGTTTAAACTGAAAACTTAGAATTTCAAATTATTCTGATTATGCGTTTCTTTTTTTGTTCAGTATATATTTTAAATGTTAGTAACTTGTCAAACGGACAAAGGGATATAAATTTGTTATTGGGAGTCCTGATTTTATTCTCGTAAATAATTTTTAAAAGCTAAAAATGCAATATATAATTTTACATGCAATGACAACGTGATTCTCCTTATTTAATTTTATATATTATATATGAATTTGACCTCTTCCTTGCTGCAAGTGACATCCCCCATCTCCTGTTTACATGTAAAAACAAGGCTTTAACAATAAAGTAGAATATTAAGGACGTTCGATCCTGAGATTTTGAGCGTATTTTGGTCAGGTCCTTTATTTATAAAATTCTGCATCATTTTTAAGTTCTAACATTAAATCTGAATTCTACGGTGCAAATTCAACTATATTCAATAAAAAAAAACCGCGATTAAATTCCATTCAAGTAGAATTAAGCTAGGGACTATATTTTGTGGCGGAAGGTTTTTTAGACGAAAATGATCATTTTTTTCCGTTTTGAACTATAACAGTACTGTTAATTTTGGATTCCTATTTTTCCATCCTGGCTGCACACAAAGCTGTTTTTTGCAGTGAAATGTGTTATGCTGGTTCTGAAATATCTATCAAATTATTTCTTATGAATTCTATCAACAAAGTGTGACAAATATAGTAAAAATATTCTGAAAATCCGGGAAAAAATTAAGCCAATTTTATCGAAAAATTGACACTTTTTAAGTAATATCTGAAAATTTACATCATATATTCCACTTTTGATGTTCTTTTCTAAATATTCAAGATAAATTTGACCTATTTGCTCAAAATCAGAAAAAGTTTAAGACTTTAAAATAATTTTCTTGCTTATTAAATTTTCAATGCCAGAAAAATCACTTTTTATTAGTGCAGAAAGGTCAAATAATTGATTATGCGAAGCAATTTTAAACTTTTTCTTAGTCACAATTTTTAAGTGTCTTTTTTAAACAAACAAAAATTTCATTTTGTTTCATGCTTTAATTGGATAAAAATATTAGAGGGGAAACGTCAAAAATTTAATTTTTAATTAAGACACAAATTTAGGTGCAAAAAGGTCATATTAAATGTTTTATAGCGCCAGAAGAAGCGTATTGACCCCCATTTTTTTTATTTTGAATTTTAATTAAGCTATGTATGTAGAAACTAAAAATATACCTGGCAAAAAAAGTTGAAGACTTTAAATTTCAGGATCGAACGTCGTTAAACAGACTGTGTGCACTGTGTGAAAATCGAAGAAACCCATTTGCACCGGAAAAGGGTGTTGCGTAACATAGGACTAGGAAAATGACATTGTATTTTTATGGGTCCAGTCCATGATTCCATTACATTAACACCCCAGTCCATATAAAATACCCCGAGAAAAATTAGTCTTCTTTGATAACAAAGTAAACTATAAAATATTTATGTAAGAGGGCAAAGTATATTTTGCATCGGGTTCAAGATTCAGATTGAAATTTTTATAAAGTTTACAAATTATGAAAAGGAAAATTATTTTTATGTTTAAATCCTTTTTGAATAACTGAAATAACGATAGTATTTGGCTGTAAGTAATTTTTATAATTTATTTTTTACACTTGTGAATCTGTCCACTGATTGGTCAATTTACCGAATGTACAGTAGGCCATTTTTTGGCGGTATTTTTCTCAGTAGATGTTGACCAGTGAAGACGTGTGTCAGCCGTGTTACTAAACGCCTTTTTGTCTGATATATGTGAGTAATGATATTTTTGTCTTACATTCATATTAGACTAGGTACTTATGTCACAAGTGAATAATTATTCTATATTTTGTGAAATATGAAACTGCGTAATTTCCCGATTGAAAGTTGTTTATTACTAGTCAGAAATTATGTCGTGATGTTACCATCTAGTCATTTGTTTATAAGTATGTTTATAGGTTAAAAATAATAGATGCCCTGATGATATATGATTTTAAAAGATTATTCAATGCAAAACATTTTTATTATAAAAGTGGTTCCTTGTCAAGTACATGTAAGTATAGTTTGTATGAATTGAGTAGTAAGACCTGATTGTATTTATAGTGGACAGTCCTTGTGTGATGACGTCACAGTGACCGGAAGCGGCCATACTGTATTCCTTACTTAGGTTTGTGAGCTGTGTACATTTTTTATTACTTATCATATATACTGCATATTTATTTCTTGCTTAGATTATATGCTGTATGATAAAGTGTAATAGAAGTCTGACTGTCATAAATATTTCTTAATGAAGTGAACATTACTTTTTCCTAATATTGAAATGTCAAGAGGTGATATTGTACTTGTTTACATTAATTTTTTTATGACTATCACTTTCAATTGTGTATTGTTTATTTTAGGACCACTGTCATCATAATCATCATAATTTTTGAATACTCATTCAAATCAAGAATAAAAGAACTACGAGAACATTATTCTCTTGTGTTACAAATGGCGTCGTGGACAGGATTCTTGTGATTGTGATTCTTGTGATTGACGACAGTGTGCATCAGCATGGAACAGCTCGTCCAAGGATTGTTGGACAAAATTAAGATCTTGGAGACGAGAGAAAATCAAGACAGGCAGGAAAATGCGGCCATGCAACAAGAAATAAAAAATTTACAAGGAAAAGTTTCTTCACTGAAAGCTACCGAGTCGAAAGAAAAACCAACACCTTTAGTGTATGTCAAGTCCGAACGAAAATTTCCTAAGTTTGGAGGTCGACCAGTTAAGGATGGAGACCCAGATGTTTACGAGTGGATTTCCGACATGAGGGAACATATACAATCTACACAGTCCAAAGACGATTTCGTAGATTTCATCATGGACCATTTAACTGGATCCGCAAAATCAGAAGTGAAACTTCGACCTCATACAGAGAGAAAAACAGGAAAACAAATTCTCGATATCTTGGAGGCTGTGTTTGAAATCAAAGAAACCACTACCCAACTTCTCCAGAAATTTTATCAACGAGACCAAAAACAGGATGAAACATTAGAAAAATATTCTCTTGTATTAATGGAGATGGCACAGAAAATCAACAAGAAAGATAAGAAAGAGCAAGTGACTGATGTTAAGCTTACCGAGAGATTTGTTGATGGAATCAGAGATCAGAACACCCGACAAGAACTGAGAAAAGTTGTGTTAGACTCTGGCAACGTACCATTTTTTGAATTCAGACTTAAAATGTTACGATGGATAGAAGACAACCCTGGTGTGAATTTCAGTGTGAAGAAAACATCATGTGTACCTACTCCAAATACAGAACAGAGTGAATTAATGACTCTACTTAAGAAACAACAAGAGATGTTAGAGAAACAACAACAACAGATTGATACGCTTACACAAACAGTACAAAAGTCTCGACAGTCTGATTCACCTCGGAGGGGTAATAGACCCGTACCGTCCAGAGGACGTGGCCGAGGGATCAGAAGACAAGATCAGATTGTTTGTTATGCCTGTAACGGACTTGGACATTTTTCATCAGAATGCCCAAATCGTAAAAATGGATTCTCACAGAACAAAGAAGATAGACGACTGCAACAACAGCCGAGACAGAAGTTTCCGAACACCGACCCAAAAGCAAATCCCTCACAGTAGAGAGTCGCCTGTTAGAGGGGATTGGGAAAGACTCGTGTGATATAAACGAGAAAATAAAAAATGCTGCAAGAAACAGTCCAGTCACTACTATTGAACTAAATGGACAACCTGTAAAATGACTCCTAGATACCGGAGCAGAAGTGTCAACTATATCTGAAATGTTTTATAAAAAGTTCTTACATCACAAAGATATTACAGACACAAGAAAATTTCTACGATTATCTGCAGCCAACAAAATCCAAATTCCATACCTTGGATACATTGAAGTGGAATTAAAGATTCAGGATCAACTATTCAGTGATGTTGGAATGTTAATAGAAACAGTGACAACAGATCCAAATGGCGTTCAAGTTATTCTTGGATGTAATGTACTGAAACATATTAGAACAGCCTGTCATTGTGATAATGTTATTATGAAAGATCCTATATGGAACAATGTTATGTCTGTTCTAG